CTGGGGCGGCACATCTGTAAATGAATAACACCAGGTGTCCTAAGGTGAGCTCAATGAGACAGAAATCTCATGTAGAACAAAAGGGTAAAAGCTCACTTGATTTTGATTTTCAGTATGAATACAAACCGTGAAAGCGTGGCCTATCGATCCTTTAGTTCTTTTGAATTTTAAGCTAGAGGTGTCAGAAAAGTTACCACAGGGATAACTGGCTTGTGGCAGCCAAGCGTCCATAGCGACGTTGCTTTTTGATTCTTCGATGTCGGCTCTTCCTATCATTGCGAAGTAGAACTCGCCAATTGTTGGATTGTTCACCCACTAATAGGGAACGTGAGCTGGGTTTAGACCGTCGTGAGACAGGTTAGTTTTACCCTACTGATGAGTTCGTTGTCTAAACAGTAATCCAACCCAGTACGAGAGGAACCGTTGGTTCAGATAATTGGTAACTGCGGTTAGCTGAAAAGCTAGTGCCGCCAAGCTACCATCTGTAGGATTATGGCTGAACGCCTCTAAGTCAGAATCCATGCTGGAATAGACGATAATCACCTTTCCCGATGTGCCGCGAATAGCGATAGGTGTCTTCTGGACACCCAACATCATACAATTGCAACGCACTCCGCTGCCTGTCAAGTACTGGCGGTGGAGAGTAGGCTGATTTGTAATTTCAAATATTGGGAAAGATAAATCCTTTGTAGACGACTTAACTACAGAACGGGGTGTTGTAAGCATGAGAGTAGTCTTGTACTACGATCTGCTGAGATTTAGCCCTTGTTCTATTGATTTGTTCAGAAATGAACATTTCTCCCCCCAATTGCAAACGCGCAATGTTAAAACTATAAAGTTAAGCAGTCGAAATAAGGCTGCGTTAAAGTGATTTACTTTCGCTATGGGGCGGCGAAAGTAACCGGTCAAAGTGCTGGTAGAGAGTTAATACTGTTAAGCTTAAGATCGTCAAAGTCTTTGTTTTGGCTTAGTGAGGTTTGTTCGCAAAAATCGCTAAGTGCCGCTGCTATTGTTTTCCGAGCCAAATTCGGCGACCTTAGTATCGGGTTTATAACAGGCAGAAAGCGAGAAACACTTTGCGTGAAAATCGCTAAGTGCCAGCGCTAATGATTTCTGAGCCAAAATCGGAGATTTTAGTATGGGGGTTTAACAGGGCAAGCTAGACGGCAGGGCGTAAAATTAGACTTGGTTTAAGTATGTTAAAAGAGAGCGAATAGCGTGAATTAGACTTGGGTTTAACTATGTTAAAGAGAGCGGAATAGCATGAATTAGACTTGGTTTAACTATGTTAAAGAGAGCGGAATAGCATAAAATAGACTTGGGTTAAGTATGTTAAAAGAGAGCGAAATAGCGTAAATTAGACTTGGTTTAACTATGTTAAAGAGAGCGGAATAGCATGAAATAGACTTGGTTTAACTATGTTAAAGAGAGCGGAATAGCATGAAATAGACTTGGTTTAAGTATGTTAAAAGAGAGCGAAATAGCGTGAATTAGACTTGGTTTAAGTATGTTAAAGAGAGCGGAATAGCATGAAATAGACTTGGTTTAACTATGTTAAAAGATAGCGAAATAGCGTGAATTAGACTTGGTTTAAGTATGTTAAAGAGAGCGGAATAGCATGAAATAGACTTGGTTTAACTATGTTAAAAGAGAGCGAAATAGCATGAAATAGACTTGGTTTAAGTATGTTAAAAGAGAGCGAAATAGCGTGAATTAGACTTGGTTTAAGTATGTTAAAGAGAGCAGAATAGCGCGAATTAGACTTGGTTTAAGTATGTTAGAGAGAGCAGAGTAGCGTGAATTAGACTTGGTTTAAGTATGTTAAAGAGAGCAGAATAGCGCGAATTAGACTTGGTTTAAGTATGTTAGAGAGAGCAGAGTAGCGTGAATTAGACTTAGTTTAAGTATGTTAAAGAGAGCGGAATAGCGTGAATTAGACTAGGATAAAGTATGCAAAATGAAGCTGAGGACTTTGTGAAAAAATGCGAAGTTGTTTGCTGTTCTAATTGTATGGGTTTGGAGATGTTTTTGGCTTGGATTAATAACAGGCAGGAAGCGCGAGGAAACGCAGCGAATATGGACGCGTACGCGGAAGGTGACGGCGGAGGAAGCGCGGATATGGAGGTGAAAATGGTGAAGGTGATGGCGCGAGGAAGGTGACGGCGCATGGGTGTGAATATGGAGGTGATGAAAGGTGACGGGAGGAAACGCATGATGTATATGACAAGTTGGTGTCGTACTTAAGCGGAGCGCGCGCTGTATGCGACATGTCAGCGGAACACTGTCTAAATTAATAAATACTGTTTTGGCCGATTTCTAAAAGCGTCTATAAAAGGGCATAAGTGCAATGACTCGTCTTTGTAACCCTGCGGCCTAGGCGTAGTTTTTCACGGGGAATCCGAATATTAAAGGTAGATTTATGTACAACATGTACTTTTTTTGCAACATGTACTTTTTATCTACGGGACATAGACATATGTAAAAACACACGGCGGAGCCGTTCCCGCAATCAGAATTTGTCTAACTCTTCTAGATCAAAAGTTATTCAGCGAAATGTGAGACTTTGTTTGGCATGCTCTTTTTTTAGGTGGTTTTTTCCGGTTTTATGTGCCGCCCGGCAGATCTGGCCTGCAGACTTTAGCAGAAAACTTGGCGCATGTGTTCGCACGACCGCTCCCAAAGTTTTACAAGCATATCTCCAGTAGTTGCTTCGCAATGATTTTTTTAGTGACGCCAAAAAACGCCATTTTCGCGGAAAATGGACACCTTGGACGGCCAAAATCACCACTTTTGGCCATGTTTGGCCCTGCACATCCAGGAAGCAAATGAGACTGCTCCGTATAAAAACTGCCCTAGGGGTGCTTTTATGCGCGCATTCTCGTGGTCAAGTCAGATTTTGGCTAAATTTAAATGCCTTGTCTATAAACACTTTTTTCGACCTAAATTTTCACCTGTTTTGTCCCGAAATGATAGCACCCATTCTTTATTTGCCTATATATCGCGAAGGAGGCAACTTTTTTCCTGTTAAGTATAGATAAAAAATTTAATTCGGCGTTTTAGCGCACGAGGAACAAAAGTCTCCATACAAGCTACCCTCGGTTTCTAATGACTTTTTGAGTTAGGGAAGCGTGGATCTTCTTTTTTTCTTGTTTCCAGGACTTCACATGAACTTCCAACTCAACTCGAATTGTCATCCCGGGCCCACCACGCATCGAAACGACACTTTTCTCGGAACTGGCGAATAAAAAATAGGTCACCAGATGCGCAAGAGTCTGGGATGACAGAATATCAAAACAATAACAGAATCGTTAGTACTTTTTTTGTCACCAGCGCCCTTTTTCTGTTTTCGCGTACATAATCGAGCATAACTTTATCAATTTATACCATATCGACCGATATCGATTGTCACGATAGTGTACTTTTTTTAGGCGCACATGATGGTAAAAAGAACGGCCACCTATTCCCAGCCGTTCTTAAGTTATGCTCTTTTAAAGATTTTACTTTAGAGATGACACACCCTCTCATTTCACTCCATTACATGCTCTTTTTGCTGAATTACGTGGCACAGACGCAGAAAATCATGGTTCGCAAGTCGAACATTTTTGAAGAGCGCATCGAAACGGACATTTTCTTAAAATAACATGGTATACAAAAAGTGCGTTCTTGAGCCTGTAGCAAACGATTTGCATCCATGACATCCCAAAAACTTAAAATAACATATCTCGACTCCTAGAATGAAATCGACGTGAATCCTTAGGGCAGTTAGTGTGTTTTAGTATCATACTTAACACCACAAAGTTTTACGGGGCACTCTACAATACTCTTCCCAAGACGCAAGAAAATGTTCATTTTGGGGGGTCCTCTAACGCGAACTTAATGATAAAATACCGCACTTAGTCCATAAAATACGAACTTAGGCACTATTCGCACTTAGTAAAATAACTTCTCGCACTTAGAACGGGTAATTTATGTAAATTACTTTATGGGTGACTGCTGAGTTCTAACAAAACTGAAAGATACTGACTAGCTGCTGGCGCGGCGGTTACTTTTCCAGCTATAAATAGATGTTAAACGAGTAGTCTGTAACTGTCAGCAGTACTCAATTCCCGTCAATCTGCTGTAGATTAACGGGAATTTTTGTTAAGACGACGTAAACAAAAGCGAGTATCTTTCTTGTGACGGTTTCCTAGTATATGTGAGGTGACAAGTCGGTTACTGAGTGTAATTTTGGAAATGGCGTGTGGGTTTCTAAGATTATAGTTGGTTTTTGAGGCGTTACTTTGCTGTTTAGGGTGATTTCTCGGTCTTATTTTAGGATAAGATTGAGTGAACTCTGGCGATTTATGGTTTTTT